GCGTAGTTCCAACCCCCACTGATAAAATTAAGCGAGCATTCGCCAAGCGGCAAACGTGCAATGGCACTGCCTAGGCAGCGCTCGTACACTAGTAGCCCGAGGTTCGTATTAGGCATGTGACAATTCACAACAGTCACGGCACCCTCCCTCCCGCTGAGACGAGTAAGCAAAATCCTCCCATCCACTATGATAGAATGTGTAATCGATTGAAACCGTGCGCGCATGCTGGCACTGATAACGGTAAACACACCCCTGCTGCTGTACTGTCCAAGAAACTAGCCCCAATCGTGACATCTTTCAGTCGGTGAAGCAAGGCAGTGACATCACCCCATGACCATGGCATTCCTGAAAGAAAACGACGTCGCCTTTAATGCAGAGCCCGGTCGCATAGGCAAGCCGTCTAGCACATAGTGAATTACCCCCGCGAATGCGCCCAAATAAACCGTTGGTAGTCCACGTGCAGATCGACGCGGAAGAGGGGTGGCTGCACGGGGCGCCACGATCCTCTGGGCAAATCACATGGGCCCCAATCGGGTCCGCCAAAGGAAACAGCCCAGGTCCAGCGTTAAAACATGTAAATCGCTGCGCGTAGATGGAGCCCCCAAGAGCGGAGGCAGGGGCCAACAGCTCAGCATCAGAGGGTGTCGACACCGTTAGATCGACACCTCGCGCCGAGGAGCCGGCAGCACTAGCGACAGAAACAACAGCATGGCAACGGACACGGCGGAGCGCTCTGCGCGCGTCGCCCTCCTCTTCGCGAAGGCACCCAATCGTGGCACAGAATGCGGCAGCAGAGTCAGACGCGCAAGCTCGACCCGCGCTGCGTTCATCAGCTTCAAAAGGGAGCAAGAAGGGCTGACCGAACTGCCGGCAGCGAGCTTTGTATTCCGACGTTCTCAAAGGCCGTCTCAACAAGCGCATGCTCAATCTGATCTCCTTCTATTTTCGACTGAACTAGCGTAACAAGGTTCTCGGCATGTAGAAGCGCAACAATGGGACCTCCGAGTCCGTTCGATCCACGCTCATAGCGACCAACTAGCGCCTCAGCGATGATATGCTGACCATCCCCATCACATAGAACAGCCTCCTTCCCTACTTGCTGATGTCCCTCTTCACCCGTAGCGTGTAGTAAACGTCGTTGCCAACAGGGCTGGCAAATTTGAACAAGGCTTCGAAACTTGCGCAGCAAGTCCGTGCACACAGTCGCTGACGCAAACTCGAACAACGTCTTCCGAGACATGTCAAAGGCCTTGATCACCACCTTCCCGTAGTCCCCAGACGGCATGCATGTTTCACGTACTAGCTCAGCAGCTCTGCGTAGCGTGCGAGCCATCAGCGGTGTCTCAAAGCAGCTCACGCGTAGATGTTGCCGCGGGTCGCGAAGCTACACGGGCAGCACGGAGCGGTACAAAAGCCATCTGCTGAAACTTCTTCTCTATGTCGTCAACCCGTTTTGTGCCAGGAGCGGCCACTTCCTGCATCTTGTTGATCTCCGCTGGGATCTGATCCATCTTGACCTGCACCATGCCACCGATGGCCTGCTCGACCGCGGCAGACAACGAAATGTTCTGCAACGGCTCCAACTCATGGATGCGGGCCCCAATCTGGGTGATGCACGTGCCGTGAGACTCTACAGTGTCCCTGAGGTTGCATATCTGCATCGTCATCGCATTATCCATCTGCTCGATCCGAGAATTGCTAGAGCGGGTGTCCGAGATCAGTCCCCTCATCCACCCTGGTGGTTGCGGGGGCGGTCGCTCCTTGCACTCTCGATCGCTGCGGCTCCGCGAGCCCGTCGACGCATTCGGCGTACTAGGAGAAGACGAGCGGCTAAATCGCCGCGCCCTGTCACCTGACAGGCTGCGACTGGGCTGGCGCCGAGCACGGGTCCCACTCCGCTGCTGGCGCTTGCCACCCATGACTGATCACCGAAGGAGAACAGCGAAAAGGCGCGTGCCTTGGCGCACATCTGGACAGAGTGAGGCCTGACCCCGTAATCTCGGGCCTCCCTGTCGCCTGCAACAAGGTTCTGGCCCCAGGGCAGGTTAGAGCCTTGAGCCAAGTTGGCAACGGGGCTCAGGGTGCAATCCACATTGGCTTTTTCACCTCAGAAATCAATCCGTCTTGTGATTCACCTTTCGCAGATTCGAACCTCGAAAATCCATGGAAATAGCATTTCAAATGCCACCATTTGCCATCCACCCAAAGAAAATACTCGGCACTGGTCCAGGTTGATCCATCGGTCCGGCCCACCATTGTGCTACACCATGCCTGTCCTGGTTAGCTTCGCTGTGCACGCCTTGCTTTTTGTTTTGCTGTGTGTGTATGTGTTTGGTGCGTTTTCTTCAAGATATGCTTCGAGTGCGCTGTGTTCTTTATGCCTGCTGCTCTCTCACGTTCGGGGCGACTGCACCGAAATTCGAAGAGGGGGGCAGGGGGGCTTTGCCCAAGGATGCAGCAAATGTTCCGACAAGCGTCCACGGGAGGGGCCGCCCGCATTGCCTTAGCATCTCAGTTGCTCGGAACGGGGAGCGTCCCATACGGCTCTATAGGGCTCAGAGATCGTTCCTCGACGGCCGCTGAATGTGTGAGAGAAGGCTTGACCGACAGGCCGATCCCCTCCCGAGCATGCAGCCGAAAGGGCAGCGGGTACAGGCAAGGATAGGAAAGGTAGAGGTTCATGCACACCGAGGCCCCCGAGAGGGCCCAAGAGGATCGATCCCGAATGGAAGAAGCCCGAACTTATGTTTCAAGTACTTCCAAAAAACATGCCCCTCCCCCCCGAGACCCCTAAGAACCCCCCAGAGGACCCCAAGAGGACCCGATGGAGATCCAAGAGGCCCAAATGAAATGCCTGGAAGCCTCCCGAGGCAGAACACAACCTCCAAGAGGCCTCTGGTCCGCGAGCCGGGCGCAGTGGCGAGACGGCCCACAAGAAACCCAACCCTGAGACCCCATGACGTCCACTAATCTTTGCCGTGAGAAAGCCACGGTATCCATGGAACAACCATCGAAAACCAAGAAATCCAGCGCTGCAAGAGGGGGAGGAGGAGGGGGAGGGGGAGGGGGAGGGGAGGAGGAGGAGGAGGAGGAGGAAGAGGAGGAGGAGGAGGAGGAGGAGGAGGAGGAGGAGGAGGAGGAGAAGGAGGAGGAGGAGGAGGAGGAAGGAGGAGAGGAGGAGGAGGAGGGAGGAGGAGGAGGAGGAGGAGGAGGAGGAGGAGGAGGAGGAGGAGGAGGAGGAGGAGGGGGAGGACGAGGAGGAGGAGGAGGAGGAGGAGGAGGAGGAAACGGGGAAGAGGAGGAGGAAACGGGGAAGAGGAGGAGGAGGAGGAGGAGGAGGAGGAGGAGGAGAGCGTCCTGGAGGCAAGCAGGGTGTTTCTTGGCATGGGCCTCCACAGCAGGAGGCCTCCGGTCCACGGGCCAGGCGCGGTGGCGAGGCGGGCCGAGTGCCACCGAGACGGCAAGGAGCCACGCGGCGCGGCGGCTGTGGAGGCGAGCAGGCCTGCGAAGTGCAAAGGCCTGGCAGGTTCGGAAACCTCGGAGTTCGGGGGCGAGTAAACATGGATTAGCGATCCATGGACTCGGCGCGCGGTCGCCAACTCCATGGATCGGGGGAGGTGCCCTCCCCAAATGGTGGCCGGTGCCGCCCCGTTCGGCGGCGGAAATCCGCGATTTCCCATGGAAGCGGGACCCGTCGCTGATCCAGGCCCCCATGATCCATGTTTGCGATCGGCTGAGACGTGCTGCCACGCGGGGGGGTGGCAGGGCGCAAAAGTGTTCGCGTGCACAGCTGGGTAAACGAGCCGAACGTGCACATCCCAAGGAATCCAAGTTGGCCACCGCACCTACCAATCACACGTCTTCAAGAGGGAGGTCGATTAGCTGACGCATGCCAGATAATCATCAGGGGAAATGATGGTGAGGATGAGCAGAAGCAGCAGGAGCAGAAGGGACAGGAGGAGGAGGAGGGGCAGGAAAAAGGGGGAACAGGCAGAGGAGAGGGAAACATGAGGAGGAGCAGGATCGTTAGCAAGCGCATGAGCAAGAAAGAGGAGGAAGAGGAGGCACGGAACAGAAAGTAGGAGGCGTCGGCGGTGTGCAGAAAAGCAAGGCACGTGCTACTCTCCATACATGCATGCCAGGAGAGGGGAGATGAGCGGGAGTAGGAGGGGCAACAGGAGGCTCCATACTATCCAGGAGACCGAGGTGGAGGAAGAGCGACAGGATAACGTGTCATCGCACCTCCTTGCTCATCCCTCCCCCCTCCTGGCTCTTTCCTCCTCCTCCTCTTCCTTACCCCACTTCTCCCTCCTCCTCCCCATCGTCCCTCCCCATTCCTCTCCCTCCTCATTATTGTACTCGCCTTCTCCTCCCCATCAGAATTTGCTGCATCATCACAGCCATGATCGTCGCCCTTATCTTACTTCTATCCTCCACACGCCTCCATTTCACTCACCCTCCTCATCAGCAACACCATCATCCTCTGCCTTCTCTTACTTACTTGTATGGTTCGTTCTCCTGGTTTGACTCCTTCCTCGCTCCCCCAACCCTTTCACATCGCTCTTCTCCGCCTCCCTGCTCCTGTCCCCCTTGCTCTCTCCTCTCCCCCCTCCCCGCTCTCTCGTTCTCCTTCTTCTGCGTTCTACTCACCCCCATCCCTGCACCATCTCATCATCCGTTTCCTCTCTCATCCCTCGTCCTCTCTTCTCCCCGCTCCTCGACCTTTTTGCGTTGACGGGGCTTTAGAAACGGAGCTGAAGCAACCTGGTTCTCGACCTCCTCCTCCTCCTTCTCCTCCTCCTCCTGCTCCTGCCACTTCACATTTCCTCTTCCTCCTCCTCCTCCTCCTCCTCCTCGTCATCCCCCCTTCCCTCTCCCTTTCTCTTCCTCTTCCTCGTCGTCTGCTGCTCCTCATCCTCCTGCTCCTCCTCCGCCCGTCCTGCTCCAATTATTGATTTTGCAAGACGGCAAAGAAGCTATGGAACAGAACGCGGAAGCGCCGTGGAACCGTCCCGGACGTGCTGCCGCTTAGCCGCGTCGAGATACTCCTCGTCCGTGGCCGCGAAGGCGTCGTGGAAGGACGACTTGATGAGATCTGCCTCCTCCAGCACGCCCAGATGTCCGACCTCGATTTCGGCCCTCAGGGGCGGTTTCCGAGCCCCGGGAACGTAACACACAGACCTGAGACGAAGAACGAGCCCCAAGGAAGCTATCAAGACCTCTGGGGCCACGAATCGGAAAAACCGTGTCGGCGAACGTCAGGGCATGCGGCATGCCGGCAGGGAAGAATGGGAAGACGAGCATCCGGGACACGCTGCCGTTGAGAGGACCCGGCAGCATTGCTGCTCCTCCGCTTCTTCGACGGCAGCACGCTGACGGGCTCCCTGCGGCGGCGTGTCGTCGCTACGGGCTCTGTTACCCGAGCATGCAGGCGACGTGCTCACGATGCGGGAGCGCACGGTCCTGGGAGGCGCACCGCCAGACTCGGACGAGGTCCGGTCACATGATGCACTTGCCGCAAGTCGTACGGCGCAAACGAAAAAGAGACACAATATGCGCAGTCTGGCACGGAGAGGTGCAGGGCATATTTCCGTGGAGAGAAGGAGAGAGAGAGAGAGAGAGAAAGAAGAGAGAGAGGAAGAGAGCGAGAGCGAGAGCGAGAGAGGGAGACAGAATGGCAGGGCAACGTGGTCTAAGATGAGAGGGTGGGGAAAAATCCAGTGTGCAACACCCACGATCCCCAAAGTCCGGGATGCTGGTAAATTCGTCGGCGCTGGCCCCTGACACCGCGTGTCTCCTTCGAACCCTGAACGCTGTCGGCGGATTCCAGCGCACCCGCGTCGAGCGCCGACGCTCGGACGCCGCTGCGTCGGCACCACACGCAACTGCCGCATTCTGGCTGCGCGCACGCTAAGATGGATTACGCAGAGGGGATGGGTAAGAGCACCCCTCGAATCACGAGGCCAGTGCCGCCTGACCTGGCGACAGGGCGCGCCGATTCCACATGGAAGCGGGACCCGTCGCTAAGCCACGCGCCCGAATCCATGTTTCTGCGTTTCCTTGAAACTCTTTGGTGAGCGGCGAGGGCGGACGCCGAGGTTGGAAAACTGGTGGGCCGCGCCAGAACTCGGGCACACAGAGGCTACTACTCGGCGGTGGATCAACCCTCCCTTTCGTAAACCTCCATGTAGTGAAAACGGCCTGGGACCGAAACCGACAGACCTGGACCCGCAAAAACGACGGCCGCGACGCCCTCTCGCGAACCGAAAGCGGCCAGTTCACTAATCGACGTGTCAGGGTAAGAGGTCTATCAAACTCCGATACTGGACAGGGGAGGGCGGCCGCGGAGGAGGAACGCGGCGGGAGGCCTCCGGAGTAGAGAATCTTCGCCGCGAGGAGAGCGCAGGCGGTCTCGTGCCACCAAGGGCGCGCTCCCTTGAGACACGAAATTGCCGCACTCTGAGCTCATTTTGCTGGTATTCGCAAGAGCGCCGGTGACCAGCCCCGCCCCTCCGCCTCCCCCCTGGTCACGTCACGATTCGCGCCGGCGCCGTCTCGCGTCACGATTCGCGCCTGCGCCGTCTGGACATGAGCCATGTAAGCATTCCCAGACGGCGGCGGCGCGAATCATGACGTCACCAGCCCGTTCTTCCCCCCTCCCTCCGCTCCAGTCACTGATCGCAAAGGATAAAAAACAAAACGTTCTCGCTGGGGCCATCCGCCCGCGGCGACAAAGAGGCATCCCCCTCCGCTCCCCCCGAAGCCTCCGAGCGGGCCCGACCCCGGGTGGGAGGAGGGGGGGGCATTGGGAACATTGGGGTAACCTGACAAAACAACGCAGGTTAAAACAGTGCCCAAAGGAAGTGATAAAAACTTCGGCTTAAATCCTGGAGCTTTGGGCCTCTGAACTGTCCGATGGGAGGCCTCCAGGGTGTTGGTGCGCTCCCCGTCAAAGGCGGGCAAAATTCTGCCTGCATTTGTGGGTGACCTCGCAAGGCTAAACTAACTGTCTGCTGTCGGACATGCCGGTCTTACCACAACGTGACCAGAATATTCGCATCTACATCTTCCAATGCTGCAGATGATGGGTGTGGTGCAGGGTTCAGCCTCCGATCTTACGGGGACCGCGGTAGGGAGCAAATTCCCAGTCCCCCGCTCGACGCACATCGACTCACACAGCGGGAAGATCGACTCCTGATTCGAAACCAGATTACATGTTTTGCCAACGAACTTGGAGCCAACGCAGGCTCAGGAATAAAAGGAATCCTTGAGCGCCCGCGCAAGCTTCGGAGGAGCGGGCACGCCAGCCAGTGCTCTCAACGCCCTCCAGAGGCGAGAGTACCGAAGCGCGAATAACTTCGCGCTATCGCGGCGCCCCCCCCCAAGGGAGAAAAGGAGGACGAGGAGGAGGGGGAGAAGGAACGAGGACCGCAAAGCGCGAATAACTTCGCGCCCTCGTGGGAGCGCTTGGCGTTCGTTGCCAAAGGCATAGCACAGCTGGGCAGGGGAGGGCTTCGCGAGCTCGCCGATGTCTACGTGCGACGGGGTCCAGACCAGCTCGACTTGGTCAGGGCTGCGTGGGGCGTGAGCCTTCTTGATTCGGGGATGCCAGCATTGCTGCCAAGCCTCCAATGGGGTCCGTCAACTTGCTGACTTCTGTCCCAAGTCTCGAGATGCGACTGATGATCAGCAACATACCTGAAGTCCACGACCGTGGCCCCGAGGGTCATACAAAACGAATATATCTCCGCTCTCGGCACAATTGGTCTGCGCCCCTGCAAGGTCGTTCCCAAATCCGCCGTGAGGCGCCACATGCACCCGTGATAAGTGATACCTACAATGCCGATACCAACCCTGCGGCGCCGAACGTCGTCCAGAAGCCTCGCATCCGACCCGTCCCCGAAGATCATGACAAACAGATCGGCATCGCAAGGGAGGTCCGAACATGGTCCGAAATCGACTGCAGCGGGGAGCTCTCGGGTAAAGGTGGGAGTGGCTTCGCTCACAGCGGGAAGGCCTCGAAGCCAAAAAACAAGGGGAATATTCTTGCTGGGCTACGGCGAGAGCCAGAAGATGCTCATTATACTAAAAGTCTCTGTGGTCCGTATTGACAGAACGTCCCCACCCTCGATAAAGGAGAGACACACCTTTTTGACTTGCAGCGCGGGCCAGGCACAGGCTGTCAACGTCGCAGCCTGCCGCAAGCCTGCTGCTATCATCCTCTCTCGAGGCCGCTGCGCTCCATTGAAGACAACGACGTTGAGCGCCCACTGGTCGCCGTCCACGACCACTCCGAGCTTCTCAAAATCTCTCTTGATGGGCAAAGCGTCTGCACCACAAACTGAGCTCGTCACCCGCCTCGGGACATGACGCATCTGCCCACAACTGACGGTCAATATAAGACCTCACGTCATCCAAAATGTCCGTGAAAGCGTGATGGACGGGACCTTCCCAGTGAAGCCGTTGTCCGTATCCCACTCCATCGGTGAATGAGGGGTCCACTGGACGTCGAACAGTGTGGCCATGGTGGCACCGATCGGGCCTTTTACAGACTGCCAGCGCCGTGAGCCCACAAGTCAAAAGAGAAAAAACAAGTCTTGGCCCAACACTAGGCGATGCGAGACTGCAGGTCGGGATTGTCTCGCCACATCTTTAGCCGAGCCGCAAGATGCTCCCTCCGAAAAACGTTGGCTGGATCACGCCGGTCGAGACTTGCTGCAAGCGAAGGGGTTTAGCACTTCCCAGGGCCTGACCTGGAGGCACTCTGTGCTGCTTGACGTCGTAGCTGAACTAACTGATGGCGAGAAACACCTTTTACTTGATGTACATAGATGCCGTGGAGCTTAGTGCCCCTGGACCATGAAGCACTCGTGACTTTATGGAGCTTCGGATTCTGTCGCATTCTCAGAGCCGCCATGGCTCGACCACGGCCATTCGTCATGCGGTCACGAGCTTTCTGGCGAGATCGGTATCGGCCTGCACGAGTAGCAGCACCAAGGTCAACTGCTTCTCGAACTGCAGTGACTGGCACTCTCTTGTTGCGAAGACCATATACCGCACGTAGGGCAAAGGCGTCGGATGAGGCCACCAGAACTGTCTTGCTGCTCAACGCGACTGCCATGACCATGTCGTCCGCAAGGGCCGCACCTGAGCTGACCATGTTCTCTTCGTCAACTCGCTCGGCTCTTTCTGCGCGAACAATGGAATGGTATCATCGATGAAGGTGCGGAACATGATCTGCAAACCGTACGTTAATGACTACGCTGCAAGATTTTTCGAGAAAGGCTTTCGCAAGCTGGCCTCCATTCAAAGATCCCGCAGGAGGAGGCTAGGGAGAAGGAGGAGGAGGAGGAGGAGGAGGAAGAGGAGGAGGAGGAAGAGAGGGAGGAGGCGGAGGAGGAGGAGGAGTTCCTTGGACCAGGGCCCTCCTTCATGAGATCCTCGACAATGCACACTATCAATTCCCTAGGCCCACCATTAGGTCTTGGGTCGACTACATCAGAGTACGTTTCGTAGGCAGCCCCGCCATCTCAAGCAGGCTTTCCCAGAGTGCATCATCCAGCTACGTCATGGACTAGCTGAGCAAGGCTGCAGTTTCTCGCCCAAGTCAGTCATCCTGCCCAGAAACATCGAACTCAACACGTCGATCGCCAACAGCCTCCGGGACCAATGGATCAACTTCAAGCCCCTCAACCACACCAGGAACCTCGGGATGGACGCCAGTGGGCCGCCGTCGGATCATCAAAATCGGGAGGAAAAAAACGGCGCTGGGGCTCCTCCGGGCCAAAGTCATCAGGAAGCTGGCCGGGACTACAACCAAAGCACGGGCCCATTTTAGACCTGGAACTCTACCTCAAATATTGTGGGGAGCACAAGGCCACGGACCTCGCCCACAGAAGTTCTGTTCTTGCGCCGCCAGGCCGTCTCATATTATGGAGTATCGCAGTCAGGAGCTTGCCTCACCTCAGGACTCCACACCATCAAGGCTGAACCCGCAGAAGTTGACCCCGCGCTGTACCTCCCTATCCGCCTTTTCCAAACTCGGTTCAAATCTACCAACCAAGAACTAGGCATTCTAGGAGGGATTCAGAAAGCACGGACC